GATAAATAATATTTTTATGCAATAGTTTAAAGGCAACAATTAAGGCAAAAAAAATGAGGGACAAAACATTACAATTAGAAATAAAGTGGGGGGAGGGTATAGTTCAAGTGGTAGAGCACACGTTTAGCATGCATGAGGTCCTGGGTTCAATCCCCAGTACTTCCTCTAAAAACAAATAAATAAATAAAACTAATTACCACCCCCCCGCTCAAAAAAAAAAAAAAAAAAAAAAGAAAGAAAGAAAGAAAGAAAAAAACACAAGTAAAGCCAGGATCTGCAGTTCACGTATGCTATTTAAAGAGAAGAGGCCCTTCCAGGGACCTTTGTCATTCAAAGACTGACATTATTTTCCTGAACACATGGAGGGAGGGGCGATATACTCTTAGACAGGTTTTTAAGAGTTTAATGATGCATTCATTTTCTAATGCATTTGTTCATTCATCCATTTTTTATTGCTCATCTGCTAAATGCCAGCTACTGTCCTAAGGGCTGCAGTGACAGTGGTCCAACCCATTGCAAGCCCAGACGCTGCTTCTCTGCGTTTATCTGAGAAAGCCTTGACCCACTTGGTTCCACCTGCTTCACTTCATCCAGAATGAACCTATCTTAGAACCTGGGGCCTCCAGAGGACAAGAGGCAGATCCCATGTGTTCTGATCCCTACGGACTCACGCGCTGCCTGCAGACTCCAGTCTTTGTGACGCGCACAGGATTTGGCTGTCTTCCTTCTGCATCTGCTTTCCCTTGTCTCCTTGTTATCTTCCTCCAGCTCTGACACTTGAGTCCCAATTTTGTCCTCCAGCGTGTGTTAACCTGCGCTGAGGAACCCTTCAATTCAGTCTGAGTGGAGCACAGTGGGGAAAGTTCTGGCCTGAGAGTCAAGAGACCAGAGTTTAGTGTGATGGGTAACCTTGGGCAAGCCATGTCTTGTCTGAGTGAAATGAGAATCTCAGGCAAAATCAGTAGCCTCTAAGTCGCCGAAGTGCTTTCCAGGTGTCCACTGAGGCCAAGGGGAGCCGATCTGATGGGGCTTTAGGCTGCTCAGCCTGCCCCAACTTTCATCCAGAGCACTTCCAACTTCATCTCTTTGTTTATTGGGTTATATTTAAGATTTATTTCATATAAAACATTTTTTAAAGGTCAAACTGTATCAAAAGTTTGGAAGCCACTGAATCATATGGTCTCATAAGTTTCCTTAAGCTTTGACATTGATCACGGCAATCAATGGGATATTTTCCCTCTTTTTCACACCCACATGTTCTAAAATGTCTAAAATAGACCCAGTTTTGCAATAAGGAAATGTACTTTATTTCCAAATATGTTTAAATTCAAAACCATACACAGTACATAATAGCCTTCCCAGCTATCACCAACTCTTTTCACAGGGTTGGTGGAGTCAGGACAGGGAACGACAGCACATGGCACTAACACAGTATCACAGGCTGTGTTTCCCAATAAGCAGATTTTGAGCTAGAGTTTTGTGACAAGGATGCTTTCAGGACCAGCACCTCTGGAAGGGAAGGGACAGAAGCAGGAGCGCACAGAGGGAGAAGTTGAGCCGCGATGCAGACCCCACAGGGAGCTCTTGAACTACAATGACCCTTTAGAGTGGGTCTGTGTTCGGCTACAACGTGGTCACACTCCACATCAGTCAGTTCTCCCTGTGCACCCTGGGAGGAGTAATGAAGCGGGTGAGGCGCCGAGGCAATTTCTAAACTCACTGCCAGCTGAAGGCCGTCTGTGGGCAGCACTCCCAGCAGCTGAGGCCACAAGTCCCCCATTGAAGGAATGTCCACCCCGTATGGATATTTCCAGTAGAAAGGTGTCTTCCAAAACATCCCCTCCAATCTCCTCATTTTATAGATTCTCCGGCGAAAGACAGGAAGTGACATAAAGTCACATATTAAGAATGCCTTAGCCAAATATTTATTTTCACAGAAACCACAGTGCCCTCCACAAGGTGCACATTTGGTCGAGCCATTCCCCTACTGAAGACATCTCAGTGGCTTTCCATCACTCTGAAGTCAGAAGTCAAAATCCCTCACGTGAACCTCAAAGCCTTTCCCAGCGCAGCCCCGGCTGTGTTCCCCAGCATCGCTCGCGTCAGGCTCACCCTGCCAGCCACGACACTGCCTTCGGTATTTTGAGGCATCTTTCTTTTGTCTGAAAGACTCCACTTGATTGTAACAATTCGGTGAATGACTTTCCTTTGCTATAGGCAAAAAAAAAATCTCTTTCTCATCTTTTGTGTGTACGTGTGAAGTTTGGGGTGCTGGTGAGTTAGTAATCAACCATCCACTGCCTCATTGCACTTGCAGCAGCAGAATTGCTACCATGGTAATGAATACTGTGTCCAAAACATTGGCCTTTATCTGATAAGGGGTATTGACTTGATGCCCTAATTGATATCTCCCTCTGGAGGAAGATGCTGTGGCTCTGAAATACGTAGGTATCTCTGCATGTGTCTCTTGATGAACTGTCAAGATAGAAAAGGAAATGCAGAGAAAGTGCCAGGCAGAGCACGTTGTGGTGGGCAAGTCCCCACCTCCACTTTATTTTGGTGGCATTTGTGTAAATTGTGGGTCTGCTCAGCTAACACCCTGAATAGTGGACAAACTAGGTTTGAGTTAAAGCAGCCTTGTAGGGTGTGGGAGTGGGAAAGTATAAAATAAAATAAGAAGGACAAAGGTAAAGTCAAGGTCTCCAGAATCATGAGGTGAAGCCGTTGGTAGCTAAAGTGACTCAGCCTCTGGCAAAGTGTAAATGTGGGGCTCTGAGTCAAAGGCATTGGAAAGAGTTTCCCTTCATCTCTCTCCTCTACACCATAATCTCTCACATTTCCAGAAGGCGTCCCCCAAACTGCTCTCAGGTCTTAGAGAACGTGCCCCTTGCTCTCCTTCTCCTTGGACCCACTTCTTCAAGAGTCAACTCCAAGGACATGTTGATCCTCAGAATCTATTGGTCTTCGTGTATCGGAAACCCCAAGGGGGAATTTTCCAGCCGCCCACCAGAGCAACTGAGAAGGGCTTCCCCTCATGCTCCCAAGCCACCACTCCTCCCAGAGCACACACCTTGTTTCTCACCTCCTCCACCTCTACCACATGCATTTGCTCTGCAAAGAAAGTCCCTAAGTTTTACTGGAAACCCAACTTCCGTCCTGGTAGACACTGTTGTCACAGAGGAGAATGAACAAAGAATTGCAAGACGAGGTGGTCGACTCCCAGACTCATACAAACGCCTCGTTCTCCAAATCATTTTTCTCAAATCCAACTTTGATTATTTGTTCTCAACGATTTAATGGTTTTCATAGACTCATGAAGTTTATTTACAAATTTCTTTAAATTGGAAAGACAATATTTCTTTTTTTATAATGCACATTTAAAAATATATCTCGTTTCTAGTGGAGTATGATTTTTATTTTTAGAATCACTTTCCATATGCGTGCATAATGTACATAGTTCATTAGTACACAGCATTTGGGATTCTTCTGTTATTTTCTAATGATATATCTAAACCTTTTCCATGTTCCTGGATACTAAATATTTATGTCACTTAGAATTTTTTTATACTTGTTGAAAGATCTCTTTCAGACTTAGATACTTTGCCATCTGTCTCTTTTGTGCTTGTATTAAAAGGAAAGCATAAGTGAAGTAAGTTCATTAAGGTATTTCTAAGGCAGTAACTGGCACCTGGCTGACAGCAATTTAAAAACCATCCTGATGTTAGAGATGTTAAGAAAAAATACATACAATAACAAATTCCCATGGAATTTGCTTAATAGAACAATCCCCATCCTGTTGAAGCTTTTCATGATGTACCTCCCAGCTCCCCTTGCCTCCTCTTCACCCTGCAGATATCCACTACCGTGGATCTTGTGTTTACCGTATCCTTGTTTTTCTCCGCACTTTTGGCAAATGTGTGCCCCCTACACATATCATTTGATCTTGTTTCTGAACTTTTCTACCAGTGAAACTGTAGTGTATGTTATTTTTCTGACTTGCTTTTATTATTCAACATGAGGTGAGACGCATCCATGCTAACATGGATGTACAGCTGCATCCGTCTTCACTGCTGTCCAACACACACCGTAGGTGTAGATTTATCATTTCTCCTGTTTGATGAACATCTCCAAGGTTTTGCTATTGCAAACTGTTTTACTATAAACCCTCTCTCAGTTGTCTCCCAGTAAGTGCATGTTGAGAGTTTCCCCAGAGTATATACCCAGGAGGAAGGAGAATTGTCAAGATTAGATCTGGGTGGGCAAACCTTTTCTGTAAAGTGCCAGAAAGTAAATGTTGTAGACTTTGCAGGCCATGTGATCTCTGACACAACTACGCAAATCTGTCATTTTAACGCGAAAGCAGCCTTAGACAATCTATAAGTGAATGGCTGTAGCTATGCCTCAATAAAACTTTATTTATAAAACCAAGTAGTGGGCAAGATTTGGCCCTCAGGTTGCCAATTCCTGACCTAGATGACAAACGTCGCTATTCTGATGGCTTACAAACGCTGCTCCCCTCACCCCCTCATTTCCTCCCCTGATTATTCTCAGTGGAAACGTGAGGCCTGCCTTCACTTAGTCTACGGGCTGGATTGAACGTCCATGCCCAGGGACCTGCAGGGAGAAGAGGAAGGGCATGGGGACATGGTGGTGGTGATGCTTCCCAGCCTGCAGGTGGTGACTTGCAGCCAAAGTCGTGGGGAAACCAACGGCAGAAAGGGGTTGAGGCAGGGCAGAGGGAACTAATACGGCTCTGCTGGGAATGGGTGGGAGGTGGGGTTCTGCTTGGCTGGAGGCTGGAGTCTCAGGCTGCGGCATAGCTCACATCACAGAAGCCACTGTGACGTCACTACCAGGTGAGGGGACACAGACACTCAAACAAAAGACAGCATTCCTTTTGGTGGTGCACAGTTTCCTTTATTAAAGAATGCTGGGATTGACTCTCGGGGGCCCCTGCCCTGAGGCCAGGTCTCCAGGCGGCTTCCTGCCCTACCTCCTGTTTAAGCAGATTTGGCTTCAATGATGATGGTCTTCGTCGTCTCAGATGTCACGGTGCCCCGGACCCCCAGATCCTGGCCGGCAGGGGCCTTCTCCACCTTGGCCTCTATGTTGCGCTTTTCTACCGTCTTAGCCACGATGTCTACCTCTCTGTCGTGGGCAGCGACCATGGTCTTTGAGCCAGGAATGACCCTGAAGCTCCTGAAGAAACGGCTGATCTTGCTGGATTTCTTGCTCAAAGTGCCTGAGCTGGTGGCGGACCTGCTCTTCCCCAGTTTGGGAGCCGCCCTGCCCTCCCTGACAGAGGCGCTGTGGCTGCCACTCCCACTCTTGGGAGGGCCGTGTCCTCTGCCCCTGGCGCTGCTGTGCCCTTTTTCTTTCTTGTCGTCTCTCGTGTCTCCACGGCCGGATAAGGACCGGTGGGAGGATGACTTCCTGATCGACTTGTCCCCTCCCTTCCGGTGATGACTTTCCCCTGCCCTGCGGTGATGGGAGCTTCTCCTGGACGAGGACCTGTCCTTCTTTTCCCTCCTTTCCTTTTTTTCCTTCTGGACATCAGCGCTGACGTGAGAGACCTTCTGGCTTCCATCCCGTTCACACATGTAACCTTCGCTCTGCAAGGTGGAGACCAGGGGGGCCGTGACCAGGCCTTCGGCCCTTCGTGCCGCGGGCGTGCCGGTGGTCGCTGTGCCGGCGAACACCACGCTCGTGCTGCTGTCTGGAGTGTCCGGCCCCGTGGAGGATGTGCTGGCAGCTCCCGCCAAGACCATGTTCGTACCCTCCAAGGATAGGCTGGCCGCCCCTGCAATGGCCTTGCCCGATCCGCCTTCCCTTGGACCTTTGGCCATGGCTCCTGCCAGGGCCGCGCTTGCCTGGCCGGTGCCCGCACTCTTGGTTGCTGCCAAGCTCACTGCGCCTCCTGAAGAGCCTCTTCCTACCCCTGCTACTGCCACTCCTCCCCCAGGGCTCGTCACTGTCCCCGCCACAGCCAGGCCTGTCGTTGTCCCTGCTGCTGCAATTCCGGCAGTTTTCGTGGCTGCAGCGGAGCCCTGGGGGGCGTGATGGATTCCCTCTCCCCCGATGTAAGCACAAGAAGTGTCTCCAGAGACATCACTAAGCTCGTGAGGCCCAACCCCATCCTGATCCCTCTGTCCGTGGAGCTCTGTGCTCTGTGCCAAGGGGAGGAGAAACGGGTAAGATAGTGGTGACAAAAAGTGAGATCAGAACGCTCTGCTTCTCTCCCATTCTGGAGCTGAGCAACTCAGGATCTTTTATATACATACATTCACACATATATATTTAATGGAGGAACTGGGGATTGAACCCAGGACCTCGTGGATGCTAAGCATGCACTCTACCACTAAGCTACACCCCGTCCCCTGACCAAGGGCTTATAATTAGAATATCCTTCATATCTTAAGCTCCCATTTGATGCAAGATCCCACCTATAGCACCCCTGTCAAAAGGTCACTGTTTTGCTTGGAACAATCCAAGGGCCAGGGAAAGCACCAATTCAATTCGTCATCATCATACGCTTTAATTTTACACACTTGTGCTCCTATCTCTGCAGGACAGATGTCTAGAAGTGGGATTGCTGGGTCAAGGGATGCACCTATTCTACACTTTGGTGACTGCCGAAACAAGCTGCATGTGCAGGTGTGCACATGGCACGTGGCAGTCCTGGGGAGACCGAATGAAGGACGTTCCACAACCGATGAGACTACCTGGGCTGGGGCATGTGTTCAAGAAGAGACTGGACCATCAGGATGCTGTAGAAGGGATGACAACCCTGGGAATGAGACCAGAGTAGATGATACCTAATGTCTTTATGAAATTCGGCCTTGGGGGACAATTTGGAGTAGCGCTTGGAACGTCTCCAACGTGGTTGGTCCCGTAGCGATGGCTTAGTTGGCCCTGACTCTTTTCAACCATAGAAGGCATTTCCCAGGTGAGCCTCAGGGAGCACCAAAGACTTTGAAGGACCAGCTTTGCGCTGCTCTTCCAAAGCACCCGGCCCCGTTTCCCTGAGTCTCTGTAGGTGCTTACCAGTAGGCTTTTGTCATCCTCTATCATGGTTGCATCTCCAGTTTGGAGCGTCGGGGTGCTGCTGGAACTGTCCGCTGGAGGTCTCAGGAGGTAGACAAGCTTTTCCCAGTAGCAGAAGAGGTCTTCCCGTGCATCTGAAGAGGGGCACAGCTGCAGGTAAAACGTACGGCCAGTGGCAAGCTTCAGGCGCAGCTGCTGTTTCTCGCGGTCGTGGATGGAGATCTTGACAAACTTCAAGGGAAGCAGCCTGGTGAGCTCTAGGGTCTTTAGGGGCTTGCGGCCTCTCCCCTTGATGGGCCGGACAAATCTGATGTGCTCTTCACAGACTTTCGTTGGCCGGGCCAGCAGCATGACGTCAGGGAGTGGGAGGATGGGGCTGGTGGATGCGATGCCCACAGTCACCATTCGGACGCGGTTGTGGACGTCAATCACCTCTCCTTTTTTGCTGATCTGGATGAAGTCGCTCTCAAACATGGGTGCATACTTGAAAATATCATACTCTCCTCCCCTGTACAGTTGTTGTTGCAGGTCCCCCATGGAGGTGTCGAACACGCCCATTGAACGGTAGCTGTTGGCCGTGTAATAAGGTAACAGACACTCACTGCTCACAGTTCTCTTCATTTCAGATAGCTCCACCAGCCACAAATCAAGTCGCCGAGAGAGAGAGGGAGTGAAGGCAACTGCCCATCTCCCTGCAGGGCTCTGCCTAAGTCACTTGGCACCACCACACTTATCCTCCACTGTCCTTTGTGAGCTGTCACCATCACATATCCCTTTGTCCAGCCCCTAAGCAGTCATCCCCTCGGGGCAGGGCCACCAGCCTCCCCCTCCAAACAAACCACCATTTCTATAAGGCTGACCCTGCCAGGCTGTTGGTGTGGCTAAGCTGGATAGTTGGGACGCACAACTTAGAAAACCATTCTGCCTTTGTAGATATCTGGGTTGTTTCCAGTTTTGCTGTGTTGTTATCAGTCTCTCTGCAATGATCATCTCCCTGCAAATATACTTTTGCTTCTGCTGAATGATGTCCTGGGGAGAAAATTCCTGGAAGTGGACTGAGTGCTTGCTAAGGACAGGGGCCTTGTTCTCTGTGCCCCCAGTGTGTAGCACAGTGCTGGCTGGAACTTAGAAGCAGTGCCACCGTCAGAACCAGAGTCCCATTTGTACAGTGGTTTCCAATATATGGAGAGTTTTCTCACCCATTTTTGCATTTCAAGGAGATTATTTTTTAAACCATTTTTTTGATTGAGTTATGGTCACTTTAAAATGTCGTGTCAATTTCCAGTGTAGAGCACAATTTTTCAGTTATACATGAACATACATATATTCATTGTCACATTTTTTTCTCTGTGAGCTACCATAAGATCTTGTTTATATTTCCCTGTGCTATACAGTATAATCTTGTTTATCTGTTCTACATATGCCTGTCAGTACCTACAAATTTTGAACTCCCAGTCTGTCCCTTCCCACCACTCCCCCTTGGCAAACACAAGTTTGTATTCTGTGTCTGTGAGTCTGTTTCTGTTTTATATACATATTTTTTTTTAAGATTCCACATAAGAGCGATCTCATACGGTATTTTTCTTTCTCTTTCTGGCTTACTTCACTTAGAATGACATTTCAAGGAGGCTAATTTTTAAAACCACAATTTTATGGTGAGGAACCAAGGCTCAGGATGCAAGGCTGGATTCCGTACTAGGTCTTCAACTCAGAGTCTTGGTCTCTGTCTCAAGCTGGCGGCTCACCATCATATTCTCACTCTGCACCAAATATGGAATTGTTCACGGTTAGCAATGTGCGTGGGGACCCCAGGAATTCGTTGAGGTCTTGAATCACCATAGGATTTCCCACATTGGTTTTCCTGCTGCTTCACTCTTGATGTCTACCTGATAAACCACTGATGTTTTGTTTCTTTGAAAAGCTCTTCAGAGAAATTATGGCAAAGACGTCTTTCTGGAGTTTTTGTTCTTTGCACAAGGTGATGAATCCAAATTCCCCCTCCCCCAGTTAGAAGACTATTATTGAAATAAAAATACATTCCCCCAAACTCAGTGATTACTATGTGAAGGTCTTGAAATAAACTTCATCCCCTAAATGGTCTTTTTTATATTTCCCAGTGCCTACTGCAGTACCTGGCACATTACAGCTTTTCAATAAATACAACCTTGCTTGCTGATGCTCCCTGAAATTCATCGTTCTAGTTGTTTAGTCAACAAAATTTATTGAGCAAACACTATTTTTTAGGAGCAGCTAGATAATGGAGATGCAAAGATCAAGGTCCCACCTCTGAAGAGCTAATTTTTTTTTTTTTTCTGGAGATGTTAAATGACTTCTCCAAAAAAAAGTATGAAGTGGTTTATATTCAATTGTAAGGAGATTATGGCTAAAAGTTAACATGATTAGGTTTTAAAATAAGAGGTTTCTATATTCTCAACCATCTATTCTTCCCATAAGTCCATTTCTGATGAATGATTAATGAGAGAAATCATAATTATATTATTAAGAACTTACTATAAGCCAGGCATTGTGCTAAACACTTTACCTTAAAATGTATACAATATAATCCCAAAACAGCCCTATAAAATGTAGCTACCACTATTATTCCTATTCTTTAGAGGAGGAAATCAAGGCTCAGAGAAGTTAAGCAACTGTATCAAGGTCACACAGCACCAGAAGCATATGGAAGTCCCCAAATAGGGCAATGGTTAAACTACACTACACTGGGACACACAAATAGAACACAAATTACAAGTACTGTTAATTACTGTTGATAATTAATACTATTAGGTGCCTTCTTTGTGCCAGGCTCTGTTCTAGGTGCTAGGAATGCAGCAGTGGACAAAACAAATATCCTTACTCTCATGGAGCTGGTATATAGACAGTAAATGAGTAAAACATACGGTATCTCCAATGCTCATAAGTGCTATGGAGAAAGGTAAAGTAAAAAAGTCAGATGGAAGTCTATGCAGGGGAGAGGGAGCTGGAGGTGGTAGTCAAGGAGCATCAAGGAAAAGTGACCTTTGAGCAAAGACCTTAAGGAGGTCAGGGAGGAAGCCATGCAGACATCTGGGGAGTAGCATCTCGGTCAGAAGGAATAGCAAGGGGCAAGATCCTGAGGTGGGAGTGTGCCTGGTGTGTTAAAGGAACACCAAAGGGGCTACAGTGACAAGAGTGGAGTGAATGAGTGTGGTAGGGGATGAGACCAAGAAGCATCGGTGGTGATGGTAGGGAAACAGATCACGTAGGATGGATCTTGTAGGGCACTGTGTGTCTTTAGCTCTGCTCTGAATGGGAGATGCTCTGATCTACATATATGGAGGACCATTCTGGCCACCATGTTGCAAAGAGATGGTCGAGTTGTGATGGGCACAGAGGTGGAGACGGGTAGCTCCCATGAGAGATGATGAGGCTAAGATGCCTGTGGTAGTAGTGCAAGTAGTGAGAAGTGATCACCTACCAGACATGTTTTGACTGAGGCAACTATTATGTATAGGGATGTTGGACAATTTTCAATAGATATTAGTAAGTGAAAAAAGCAAGTTGCAAAACAGCATATATGGTAAGCCATATTTTTTCTAATAAATTTTTAATGTGTGCGTGTGTGAAGAGATGTCAGGAAGCTGGTAGTAGGAGCAATCTTGGGCAACTTGTTGGCTGAGGGAAATGGTGGGATGGAGACTTAGCTTTCCAGGGCATTTTCTTTTATATCTTTCAGATTTTATTCCACTACATAAACTGCTTACACAAAAGTAAATAATACTTTAAGTTTATAGAGTTATAAAAATGTTCTGGCAGTAAAATTCTATTCTTAGAATACTCATTCATTCAAACCTTGATATGGAAAAGAGGTAAATAATTAGCTTCATTCAAATTTAACTCTCCCTGGCACAAAATTTTAGAATTTGAGAACCAAAACACAAAATATCATTCAAAATTCATTTTCTGATTTTTCTTAAAGACCTGAAAATTTATTCCCTCTTCCCAAAGTTGAAAAGTCTGATACATTCCTTATCCAAAAAATGGAGATCAGGACACACTTACTGATTGCCCACTACATGTCCACCATTATGCTAAGAGCGTTTAGGTTGACAAAATACAAGTTTCAAAACATTTTAAATGTGACTCTCACACAAACATACAATGAAAACATGTTGCAGATTTAATTAACTCATCCATGAGGGAATCAACGTGATGGCAGAGCTGGTTCAAGGAGAATTAGAGGAATAGGTCTTGGCACTGGAGAAAGGATGTTGGGCGAACATTGCCAGGTTAGATGCAGAACTGGTTAAATGGCTACAGGGCAATGACATTATAACCTTTCCGGTTATTTTTTCACTAAACAGAAGTCATTTGCATCTCTTCTGAATAAAAATCTCTAAGTTATTACGGAACTTCACAAAGCCTAGACTGTAATCAACAACAGATAGCCTTCCTGGGGTTCCGGAAGTGCTCCAAAATCACATTGTGATAGTCTCACAACTCTGTGAATATATGAAAAACCACCAAAGTGTACACTCGCGATGGGCGAATGTCTCGGTGTGGGAAGTGCATCTCAATAAAGCTGTTAAAAAAAACAGACAGCAATACTTCGGACTTGATTTATTAATCTAATCCCATTGTCTTCTTTCCTTCTCTTTGATAATCACATAATCCTCAGACAGGTACATGAACAATGCTTTAACACAACATTGAAAGTGTACGTTACATGCTTTATAATTTTTTCTACTTACAACTTTTTGGTAGTTGTTCTTAACAAGAACTATAGTGAAGCATGTATAAGTCACCACCAAAGAGATGGGGGACAATACAGGGGCACAACTAAATACATGAGAGCATAACCATAACATGCGTATATGGACCTAAGAACACTTACCTCGATACTGAAAACCAACAATGTTTTGTAAGAAGAAACCTCCAAAACTACAAGTCTAAGGATAGTTTTCCATATATTTGTATGTGACGTTCTGAGTATATATAGACGTGCAAGACTACAGACGGCTGAAGTCTGCACACTTACCATGGGAAGAGGTTTCAAGTCAATAACTTTTGCTCCCCATCTATCACTTGGAGAAGCGAGGCCAGCAGGCAGCTATATATAGCCTTTTCGATGAGTATGCCACCGGAGAGGGCACTGTCAGTGAGGCAGGATGTGAGGGTGGGGAGATTTCCATACTGTACGCAGCATGTCTCTGCTGGGTAAATCCCCCGGCCCAAAATACAATGCACAGTGCTTTTATGTCAACACTGCTAAACCGAGCTGGCGTGGGATGAGCTGCGGTTAGCCTTAGGCACCTAGGACTTCAGGAAGCCAGCCTGATTTCTGCCTTACTTCGGGCTGTCAGAAAGAGACCACAGTCACCTAGACTCTTTCCCTGAGAGCCAGTATGCAAATCAGTTTGCTTCCGCCTTAGGTTTACAAAGACGAGCTGGAGTACTTGAAAGAAGCCAGACGGGTGATCTAAATAATGTTATTTCTCAACACTACGATCCAACTACTGTCACCTCTCTTCCCCTCCTCCCCACTTTCTGCTCGCGGCTTGTTTCTGTCCTCAGCCATCTTTAGCCCCACTCAGAGCAGACTTCCGCCCTATTCTTCAGTCTTAGAATGATTTCTGTCTCTTGGCTTCCAATCTGCCTATATTTATAAGCCATGAGATGTTCCATCTCAATCTGTGTATTTATTTCTTTGATGTTATATTGAAGAAGCTTGCAATTAAATACACACACAAATATAAAACATTAAAGATAAAAGTAAAGATTAGGAACTGTATAGAGGTTGGGGGAGTAAATAATCCAGGAGCTTGGGTAAGATGGTTATTATGATTAAATATTAAATTTAACTCTGAAAAAAAATACTAGAAGAAAGTAAGATAGATGTTAACATGGATTTTCTCCGTGGGGTGAGACTAGAAGTGATTATTATTTTTGTCTATT